AGGTACCTTCCATTTTTTCAAGTATATATTGAACTAATACAATAACCTGCTTGTAATATCTAAGTGTTAAATCCATTTGGCCTAGGAATTTTACCATATTACATTTTATCCAGTGTTTAACACACTTCTTCTAAATCAACTCTGCCTTTCTTTTTCTCTCTCTCTCTCTCGCATGCATGCGTGCGTGCGTGCACATGTGTGTGCGTGTGTGCGCGCATGTGTGTGTGTGTGTGTGTGTGTACTCACCTAGTTGTACTCACCTAGTTGAGGTTGCGGGGGTCGAGTCCGAGCTCCTGGCCCCGCCTCTTCACTGATCGCTACTAGGTCACTCTCCCTGAGCCGTGAGCTTTATCATACCTCTGCTTAAAGCTATGTATGGATCCTGCCTCCACTACATCGCTTCCCAAACTATTCCACTTACTGACTACTCTGTGGCTGAAGAAATACTTCCTAACATCCCTGTGATTCATCTGTGTCTTCAGCTCTCCCAACTGTGTCCAATCTCTGAACATCCTGTCTTTGTCCACCTTGTCAATTCCTCTCAGTATTTTGTATGTCGTTATCATGTCCCCCCTATCTCTCCTGTCCTCCAGTGTCGTCAGGTTGATTTCCCTTAACCTCTCCTCGTAGGACATACCTCTTAGCTCTGGGACTAGTCTTGTTGCAAACCTTTGCACTTTCTCTAGTTTCTTCACGTGCTTGGCTAGGTGTGGGTTCCAAACTGGTGCCGCATACTCCAATATGGGCCTAACATACACGGTGTACAGGGTCCTGAATGATTCCTTATTAAGATGTCGGAATGCTGTTCTGAGGTTTGCTAGGCGCCCATGTGCTGCAGCAGTTATTTGGTTGATGTGCGCTTCAGGAGATGTGCCTGGTGTTATACTCACCCCAAGATCTTTTTCCTTGAGTGAGGTTTGTAGTCTCTGACCCCCTAGACTGTACTCCGTCTGCAGCCTTCTTTGCCCTTCCCCAATCTTCATGACTTTGCACTTGGTGGGATTGAACTCCAGGAGCCAATTGCTGGACCAGGTCTGCAGCCTGTCCAGATCCCTTTGTAGTTCTGCCTGGTCTTCGATCGAGTGAATTCTTCTCATCAACTTCACGTCATCTGCAAACAGGGACACCTCAGAGTCTATTCCTTCCGTCATGTCGTTCACAAATACCAGAAACAGCACTGGTCCTAGGACTGACCCCTGCGGGACCCCGCTGGTCACAGGTGCCCACTCTGACACCTCGCCACGTACCATGACTCGCTGCTGTCTTCCTGACAAGTATTCCCTGATCCATTGTAGTGCCTTCCCTGTTATCCCTGCTTGGTCCTCCAGTTTTTGCACCAATCTCTTGTGTGGAACTGTGTCAAATGCCTTCTTGCAGTCCAAGAAAATGCAATCCACCCACCCCTCTCTCTCTTGTCTTACTGCTGTCACCATGTCATAGAACTCCAGTAGGTTTGTGACACAGGATTTCCCGTCCCTGAAACCATGTTGGCTGCTGTTGATGAGATCATTCCTTTCTAGGTGTTCCACCACTCTTCTCCTGATAATCTTCTCCATGATTTTGCATACTATACATGTCAGTGACACTGGTCTGTAGTTTAATGCTTCATGTCTGTCTCCTTTTTTAAAGATTGGGACTGTGTGTGTGTGTGTACTCACCTAATTGCAGTTGTATGGGTCGAGACTCAGCTCCTGGCCCCGCCTCTTCACTGAATGCTACTAGGTCCTCTCTCTCCCTGCTCCATGAGCTTTATCATACCTCATCGTAAAGCTATGTATAGTTCCTGCCTCCACTACATCACTCGCCAGGCTGTTCCACTTCCTGACCACTCTATGACTGAAGAAATGCTTCCTAACATTCCTGTGACTCATCCAAGTCTTCAATTTCCATGAGTGACCCCTTGTTTCTGTGTCCCCTCTCTGGAACATCTTGTCTCTGTCCACCTTGTCTATTCCACGCAGTATTTTGTATGGTGTTATCATGTCTCCCCTAACCCTCCTGTCCTCCAGTGTCATCAGGCTGATTTCCCTTAACCTTTCTACATAGGACATTCCCCTTAGCTCTGAAACTAACCTTGTCACAAACCTTTGCACTTTCTCTAATTTCTTAATGTGCTTTACCCGGTGCGGGTTCCAAACTGGTGCTGCATACTCTAGTATGGGCCTGACGTACACGGTGTACAGTGTCTTGAAAGACTTCTTATGTAGGTATCAGAATGCTAATCTCAGTTTGCCAGGTGCCCATATGCTGCAGCAGTTATCCGTTTGATGTGTGCTTCCGGAGACGTGCTCGATGTTATTCTCACGCCAAGATCTTTCTCCTTGAGCGAGGTTTGCAGTCGTTGGCCACCTAGCCTATACTCTGTCTGCGGTCTTCTTTGCCCTTCTCTGATCTTCATGACTTTGCATTTGGCAGGGTTGAATTCGAGAAGCCAGTTGCTGGACCACGTGTCCAGCCTGTCCAGGTCTCTTTGAAGGCCTGCCTGATCCTCATCTGATTTAATTCTCCTCATTATCTTCACATCATCTGCAAACAGGGACACCTTTGAGTCTATCCCTTCCATCATGTCATTCACATATACCAAAAATAGCACTGATCCTAGGACCAACCCTGTGGGACCCCGCTCGTCACAGGTGCCCACTGTGATACCTCATCACGTACCATGACTTGTTGTTGCCTCCTTGTCAGGTATTCTCTTATCCACTGAAGTGCCTTCCACACACACACACACACACACACAGAGAGAGAGAGAGAGAGAGAGAGAGAGAGAGAGAGAGAGAGAGAGAGAGAGGAGAGAGAGAGAGAGAGAGAGAGAGAGAGAAGAGAGAGAGAGAGATAGAGAGAGAGAGATAGAGAGAGGAGAGATAGAGAGAGAGAGAGAGAGAGAGAGAGATAGATAGAGAGAGAGAGAGAAGAGAGAGAGAGAGAGAGAGAGAGAGAGAGAGAGATAGAGATAGAGATAGAGATAGAGATAGAGAAGAGAGAGAGAGAGAGAGAGAGAGAGAGAGAGAGATAGAGAGATAGAGAGATAGAGATAGAGAGATAGAGATAGAGATAGGAGATAGAGAGATAGAGATAGAGAGATAGAGATAGAGAGATAGAGAAGAGAGATAGAGATAGAGAGATAGAGATAGAGATAGAGAGATAGATAGGATAGAGAGATAGAGATAGAGAGATAGAGATAGAGATAGAGATGGAGCATAGAGATAGAGATAGGAGATAGGAGATAGAATAGAGAGAAGAGAGATAGAGATAGAGAGATAGAGATAGAGAGATAGAGAGAGAGATAGAGAGTAAGATAGATGAGAGAGAGTAAGAGAGAGAGAGATAGAGAGATAGAGAGATAAGAAGATAGAGAAGATAGAAGAGAGAGATAGAGAGTAGAGGTAGAGATAGAGATAGAGAGAGATAGAGATAGAAGGATAGAGAAGAGTAAGAGAGAGAGAGGAGGAGAGACTAGAGTGAAATAAGAGAGAGATATGATAGATCCTACTTGAGCTGACACTAAACAAGCCTTTTATGCACAAGACGGGCAGAAAGCAGCAACTCACTCTGGTGACCTTCTCAGAACATCACTCGATCTGGAGATCATATATACCCTTGAGATCAAGTTGGAAAGAGGGTTTGTACGCATAATGATGTCACGGATAGTCAGTTGATCAAATGAAAATGCTGGCCCACAGATGGCTCCAACTTCATCCTGTTCCCTGCTTGTATGCCTCATAACAATAAAAATGCTTTCAAATGAGCGATGTAGAACAGCTCTAGCTGCCATAAAGTGAATCTTAACCTTAATAGCTTGTCAATAAAGCTAGGGATCCTTAACCTGTCAAACCCTGTGTTAAAAAGAGAGAGAGAGAGAGAGAGAGAGAGAGGAGAGAGAGAGAGAGAGAGAGTGTGAGTGTGAGTGTGAGTGTGAGTGTGAGTGTGAGTGTGTGATGTGGTGAGTGTGTGTAGTGTGTGTGTGATGTGAGTGTGTGTGTGAGTGGAGTGTGTGTGAGTGTGTAGTGTGTGTGTGGTGTTGTGTGTGTGGTGTGTGTGTGTGTGTGTGGTGTGTGTGTGTGTGTGTGTGTGTGTGTGAGTGTGTGTGAGTGTGTCTGTGTGTGTGTGTGTGATGTGTTGAGTGAGGTTGAGTGGTGGTGTGAGTGTGAGTGTGTGAGTGTGAGGTGTGTGAGTGTGTGTGAGGTGTGTGTGTGAGTGTGTGTGTGTGTGTGTGTGTGTGTGTGTGTGTGAGTGTGTGTGTGAGTGTGTGTGTGGTGGTGTGTGTGTGTGTGTGAGTGTGTGTGTGTGTGAGTGTGTTGTGAGGTGAGTGTGTGTGTGAGTGTGTTGTGATGTGTGTGTGTGAGTTGTTGTGTGTGTGGTGTGTGGTGTGTGTGTGTGGTTTGTGTGTGTGTGTGTGTGTGTGGTGTGTGGTGTGTGGTGTGTGGTGTGTGGTGGTGTGGGGTGTGTGTGTGGTGTACTCACCTATTTGTGGTTGCAGGGTTCGAGTCATAGCTCCTGGCTATGCACGTTTGTATACATGTGCACGCATGTGCACGTGTATGCATGTGCACGTGTGTACGCATGTGCACGTGTGTACACATGTGCACGTGTATGCATGTGCACGTTTGTACGCATGTGCACGTGTGTGTATTTTTGCATGTGCGTGTGTGCACATGTGACTGCACGTGGGCATGCATACTCACCTACTTGTAACTGTGTGTGCTTGCATGCCTGTGTATGCACATCCAATATTTCTGATACTGTATCTTGAAACATTAAAAATTCCCTAGTACTTGGTCAAAATTTTCAAACTGCCTATACAGCCATTAGTGTTACTTTTTCAAAGAATATACAGTAATATTCTGCCCATAATAATAATAATAAGAGTGAACTATAAATTTAATAAATATATTATCAATATTGATGGGGAAATGTTCAACCTGTAAGGGTAATACAGTGCCTGGGGAATGGGAGGTAGTCAGGTTTGATCCAAGGAATGGGAGTATCATTCCATATAATATATATAACTTACTTTATTCTTCAGTCTAGACTTAATAATTATGTAAACAAATTTCATCTTTTACAAAAAGTACTCAAGAATGTTACAAACACATGACACTGCTCAAGTTGGATATATCCTTAAAGGAATATTTTAACCTTTTCTTTTTTACAAAATATTGTACTCGCAGTTCAAAGCATCAAGCTTCATGTATGATAAAAACTAATACAATACTGTATATGCATATCCTGTAAATGATCAATACCCACATTGTTAGAAATTCTTGAAAATAATATAATCCATAATTAAGTACTTTACCTATAAAAATAAAATCAATCATTGCAGAACTGTTTAAAACAGCAGTCAATTTAATGTCACCTCCTCATAACTGACACAGCTGAAGCAAATCCTTATAAACACACTAAGAAATATCATCACATGACCAAGAATATCTCAATCATAATTTTTAAAGCATAATGCAAATCCAGTTTTGCAAGTGTTATCTATGAAGTAATAAATCTTCTATATTATCAACAGTATGATAACATGCTTATACACACACATTTACCTTAATGAACCTGAGTTATAAATGTGCAACACTTCTTTGAATGAACACAATTTCTTTTAATTAATATTTCCCTTGTAAACTTACATTATAGTAATCTTCATTTCTTGTACTCAAATATTTAATTTCCAATATTATCAGTTCAAGATAATAATGCAAATGTTTACTATATTAGGTAGTTCTCACTTATAACTTCTGTTCATTCACTCAAATGTTCCATTCTCTAAAGGCTCTGATTTGACTTTAGAATTATCCTTGATTTCCTTCATGGGAAAATCTTCCTCATCCAGGTCCACGCCAGCGACCAGAGGCCGGATCACCACCTTGATTTGATTTAATGCTCTCTGATAAACATTGTTGTCCTCCTAGTGGAATAAATGGTAAAAATGTGTTATGAGGTTCAAAGGAACTCAAAAAGTAAAGAAAAAATATGAGTATTAATTTAAATATACATGTGAATTACTAATATTAAATGTATCCTTATACAGGTCGGCCATCACTAATCCAGTTCCATCAGTAATCTGGCACTAATTCTGGCTAGCATAGTTTCAAATTTCCTGGGTCACCGCACCAACCTGATGCTACTGTTTGGTGGCGCTACTTGCTGCATAAGTCATTCCAATTTGTTTTTCTCCATTTACTGTTATAATCTGCTCACTTTTAGCCCTAGCCATGGTTCCAATGAATAAAGTAAATGCTTCTCATTGTGTAAAGCGTAAACATTTATATTGTCCATAAAAGATTAGGTTGAACTTCTGAAAAAAAACTCAACAGTGGTGTGTCTGTGAGAAGCTTGTGTTAATTATACAGCATTGGCTCTTCGACAGTTTATGACATGAAGAAACACAAAGAAAAATTACTGAGTTTCTTTGCTAACAGTGATTCAAAGAAACAGATGTGTAAAAGGAAAACAATGAAGGAAGGAAAAAGTTCAGAGCTAGATCAAGTTCTGATGAAGTGGTTTAGGCTACATGAGTGAAGGTCTTGAGCTCTCTGGAGCTCTGGTGAGGGAACAAACCAAAATTTCTTGTTTAAGCCAACTTGGTTAACTTTATTAACCTTCATTAAGTGTATTTTAACGTAACCACCTTGTGATCCAGCAAAATCACTAATATGGCACCCTATGGGTCCCAATGATGCCAGATTAATGATGGTCGACCTGTACAAGCCTTGACTGCACGAACACTGAACATCCAGTTTAACAACATATGGTCACCACACCAGAATCAAATAACCCTTTGACAGCTCTCATGTTTACTAGAACATCTACAGAAATTCTAGGTAAATTAAAGGACTAACACTATGAAATAACTTAACAGACAAACTGAATAACTGCACTCTCCTTAGGCAGGGTGTTCCTAGACAACACAGTCAAATCACTTACCCCATCTCTATTTGTAAATACCCTTTACTGTTTTGTAATGATTTCTCTGTAAGAGGTCTACTGCTTCAATATACAGTATAGTAGTATATCAGTCATTTTTCATTTACATCCATACCTGTGATAAAGTTTAATTGATAAAATATGCATAAGACATTGCAATGTTGATGGTTGGGGATTATCGATAGTGGACATGGTTTGTTTTTCAACCTTTTGGAAAATCATTATGATAGGAAGTTGTTTCTTTCTTTTCAGCTCATATTGGAGAGGTTCTAATGCTTTAGTAATTATATGGGTGATTTTAATGTTGTATTCCATCATAGGATTGTAATCTGTGATTTTTTCCTTTGAAGTCTGTGCAATCCCAAACACTTCACCAAATTTTTCCAACATCCACATTGCTGGTTCTGTTAGTTTCTTCTTCTTCCTCTGTCAATGGTTTGACAAGTTCTTCTAATTCCTCATTTGTCAACACTTCTTGATGTTCTTCACTATGTTCTTCCACTTCTTCATCAATCATACTGACGAATCCCTCTCCACCAACTTGTCTTACAACCCAAACCATACTCCCGGCTGGGATTGAACCCGCGGTCATAGAGTCTCAAAACTCCAGCCCGTCGCGTTAGCCACTAGACCAGCTAGCCACAATAAGATTCATCCAACTAGGTATATTTCTACACCATAGGAAGGTTAGCACAGGCACCACTGTGACCACAAATGCAAGTTTTTACAGACGAATCGTCTGTAAAAACTTGCATTTGTGGTCACAGTGGTGCCTGTGCTAACCTTCCTATGGTGTAGAAATATACCTAGTTGGATGAATCTTATTGTGGCTAGCTGGTCTAGTGGCTAACGCGACGGGCTGGAGTTTTGAGACTCTATGACCGCGGGTTCAATCCCGGCCGGGGGTATGGTTTGTTTGCAATCGTGTCATTACGATTTCTTGAGTCTTGTCTTGCAACCTCAGCATATGATTCTTTTTATTATTGTATCAAAATTAGCACTTTTTCACTGATGGGAAGCACTTCATGGCTTCTCTTAGGCTTTGAAGAACTCCCATCATCAATACTTTTGTGCTTTGGGGCCATTATTAAGCAAAATTAAGGGATATTTTTACAACAACACTGCAATAATGCTGGAGTAAATGTGGACAGAAAGAACACTTTGGGGTTAACTGGATGCGAGTAAAATGGGCCAGTGTGGATACATTATTATAATCAAGGGGAAGCCCTAAACCCGTATGATTATGCAGCGCCTGTGGGAGGGATGTGGAAGGTATTCAGGCTTAATTCAGGGAACTGGAGCACAGACCCAATTCCCCAGATCAAGAGCCCCTCACCAACATCAAGGAACTTTCCTTGAAGGACAGTGTGGGCACAGAGGACAAAGGGAGATGAGTCATGTACTGAGCATAACAGACAGGAAAGTTTCACCATGTTACTCAGAATAGTTTACAATTTGAAACTCATAAATTGTTTATTTCTTCAATTTTCCATTTAATATTTCTGGGCCACGGTAAACTGCGGATAACTGAAACAGCAGAAACAGTCTGTGGATATAGGGGTTCTACTGTACTAAGCTGTGTTACTGTTATTCATTAAATCTAGCCTTTAAGATATATTAAATGTCACCTAATGAAGAAAAAAATTGTGCCTGAGAACATAATTTATTTGGTTAGAACTGAAATCAATTCATATATGTTATTGTCATGTACCATGTTTTTTTTTTTTTTTTTTTTCAACAAGTCGGTCGTCTCCCACTGAGGCAGGGTGACCCAAAAAAGAAAGAAAATCCCCAAAAAGAAAATACATTCATCATCATTCAACACTTTCACCACACTCACACATTATCACTGCTTTTGCAGAGGTGCTCAGAATACAACAGTTTAGAAGCACATACGTATAAAGATACACAACATATCCTCCAAACTGCCAATATCCCAAACCACTCCTTTAAAGTGCAGGCATTGTACTTCCCATTTCCAGGACTCAAGTCCGTCTATATGAAAATAACCGGTTTCCCTGAATCCCTTCACTAAATATTACCCTGCTCACACTCCAACAGATCGTCAGGTCCCAAGTATCATTTGTCTCCATTCACTCCTATCTAACACGCTCATGCACGCTTGCTGGAAGTCCAAGCCCCTCGCCCACAAAACCTCCTTTATCCCCTCTTTCCAACCCTTTCGAGGACGACCCCTACCCCTCTTTCCTTCCCCTATAGATTTATATGCTTTCCATGTCATTCTACTTTGATCCATTCTCTCTAAATGACCAAACCACCTCAACAACCCCTCTTCTGCCCTCTGACTAATGCTTTTATTAACTCCACACCTTCTCCTAATTTCCACACTCCGAATTTTCTGCATAATATTTACACCACACATTGCCCTTAGACAGGACATCTCCACTGCCTCCAACCGTCTCCTCGCTGCTGCATTTACCACCCAAGCTTCACATCCATATAAGAGTGTTGGTACTACTATACTTTCACACATTCCCTTCTTTGCCTCCATAGATAGCGTTTTTTGACTCCACATATACCTCAACGCACCACTCACCTTTTTTCCCTCATCAATTCTATGATTAACCTCATCCTTCATAAATCCATCCGCCGACACGTCAACTCCCAAGTATCTGAAAACATTCACTTCTTCCATACTCCTCCTCCCCAATTTGATATCCAATTTTTCTTTATCTAAATCATTTGATACCCTCATCACCTTACTCTTTTCTATGTTCACTTTCAACTTTCTACCTTTACACACATTCTCAAACTCATCCACTAACCTTTGCAATTTTTCTTAAGAATCTCCCATAAGCACAGTATCATCAGCAAAAAGTAACTGTGTCAATTCCCATTTTGAAATTGATTCCCCATAATTTAATCCCACCCCTCTCCCGAACACCCTAGCATTTACTTCTTTTACAACCTCATCTATAAATATATTAAACAACCATGGTGACATTACACATCCCTGTCTAAGACCTACTTTTACCGGGAAGTATTCTCCCTCTCTTCTACACACCCTAACCTGAGCCTCACTATCCTCATAAAAGCTCTTTACAGCATTTAGTAACTTACCACCTATTCCATAAACTTGCAACATCTGCCACATTGCTCCTCTATCCACTTTATCATATGCCTTTTCTAAATCCATAAATGCAATAAAAACTTCCCTACCTTTATCTAAATACTGTTCACATATATGCTTCAATGTAAACACTTGATCTACACATCCCCTACCCACTCTGAAGCCTCCTTGCTCATCCGCAATTCTACATTCTGTGTTACCTCTAATTCTTTCAATTATAACCCTACCGTATACTTTTCCTGGTATACTCAGTAAACTTATTCCTCTATAATTTTTACAATCTCTTTTGTCCCCTTTCCCTTTATATAAAGGGACTATACATGCTCTCTGCCAATCCCTAGGTACCTTCCCCTCTTTCATACATTTATTAAACAAAAGTACCAACCACTCCAACACTATATCCCCCCCTGCTTTTAACATTTCTGTCATGATCCCATCAGTTCCAGCTGCTTTACCCCTTTTCATTCTACGTAATGCCTCACATACCTCCACCACACTTACATTCTGCTCTTCTTCACTCCTAAAAGATGGTATACCTCCCTGGCCAGTGCATGAAATTACCGCCTCCCTTTCTTCCTCAACATTTAAAAGTTCCTCAAAATATTCTCGCCATCTACCTAATACCTCCCTCTCCCCATCTACTAACTCCCCTACTCTGTTTTTAACGGACAAATCCATACTTTCCCTAGGCTTTCTTAACTTGTTTAACTCACTCCAAAATTTTTTCTTATTTTCATTAAAATTTCTTGACAGTGCCTCTCCCACTCTTTCATCTGCTCTCCTTTTGCACTCTCTCACCACTCTCTTCACCTTTCTTTTACTCTCCATATACTCTGCTCTTCTTAAAACACTTCTGCTTTGTAAAAACCTCTCGTAAACTACCTTTTTCTCTTTTATCACACCCTTTACTTCATCATTCCACCAATCACTCCTCTTTCCTCCTGCCCCCACCCTCCTATAACCACAAACTTCTGTACCATGTTACCGTTGATAAAATCATTAGGAATACTTATATTCTATGTATATAAATGCAAAATGTGTATTATGTTCTACAGGGTGTCCCAAACGTCTCCATATATGGCTAACTTTTTTTCAGATACCTTTTAAGAATGTCTTTATCAAAAGAAGAACATACAGAAATAATTTTCACAACTAGACTGGGAAGCTGTCTCCAGGTTGTGATGAACCTTTAAACAAGAAACATGGCAAACACATCACACACGACACTGGTGCCAACCTTCCTGCAAAATCCAAAAAGACCAAAAGTGTTGCAGACCAAATGTGATAACAAGAGTCCACTGTGAGTGTGAGAGGCACATCTACCTGTGTTTACAAAGACATGGCAATCATGTTGAGAAAATTCTGTAAATAAAGTTACATTTGGTAAAATTGATAATTTCCTTATGTATGGACACTTTCTGGGACACCCTGTATTATACTGTATTAATCTTATGTTAGATTTCAGCATGCTTGGAAAACTCTACATAACCAGTGGCTCTCAACATGTACTATTGTCATCAAACTTTGTAAAAAAAATCCATCAAGGGGAAATGTAATATTTATTTATTATTTATTTAAAACTGGACCATCAATAATTCATCACAACTGTTTTGACTAACAATTAATTTTTGTTTTCAGGATCCAAATAATTATGCATGCTTAATTAGCACAGCACAATGAATATAATATACAAAAAATTAACATTTAAAATAATAATACAATGCTAAGCTAACTTACAATGGCTTTCTGAAGTTCTTCTTCCATGGATTTTAGATTGGAATTAGTAGATTTAAGTTCCTTATTCAATTTACTACATCTTTCATATGACTTCTTGGCTTCCTCTTTGCTACTTACTGTAATGACAACAACACAATATATGAATACATGTGGTCTTTAATGATGATAAAGCTGAAGCAATTGTACATTCAGGAGGTGGAAAAGGGAGGGGGAAGAAGGCAAAACAAGAGGTATGGCAGAGAGAGAAAAAGAAGGGAAGAGGGAGGAAGGGGGGAAAGGGAGGGAGGGGGAAAGGGAAGGATGCATGGAGGGAGGGAAAGGGAAGAGGGAATGGCAGGAGGGGATGAGAAAGGGGGAATGGAGGGAGAAGGTAAAGGGGAATGGAAGGAGAAGGGAAAGGGGAATGAAGGGAGGAGAAGGGAAGAGGGGATGGAGGGGAAGGGGGAATGTAGGGAGGGGAATGTAGGGAGGAGAATGGAAGGGGGAATGTAGGGAGGAGAAGGGAAGGGGAATAGAGGGAAGAGAAGGGAAGGGAGAATAGAGGGAAGAGAAGGGAAGGAGAATAGAGGAGGAGAAGGGAAGGGGGAATTGATGAGGAGAAGGGAAGGGGGAATGGAGGGAGAAGAAAGGAAGGGGGAATGGAGGGAGAAGAAAGGAAGGGGGAATGGAGGGAGGAGAAAGGAAGGGGAATGGAGGGAGAGAAGGAAGGGGAATGGAGGGAGGGAAGGGAAATGGGAGGGGAATGGAGGGGGAAGGGAAGAGGGAATGGAGGGAGGAGAAGGGAAGAGGGAATGGAGGGAGGAGAAAGGGGGAATGGAAGGAAGGGAAGGGGAATGGAGGGAGGGGAAGGGAAATGGAAGGGAAAGTTGAGAGGGAATGGAGGGGAAGGAAGAATGGAAGGGGGAATAGAGAGAGGAGGAAAGAAGGGGGAATGGAAGGAAGGGAAGGGGAATGGAGGGAGGGGAAGGGAAATGGGAGGGGGAATGGAGGGGGAAGGGGAGAGGGAATGGAGGGATGGGAAGGGGGAAAGGTAACTCCAGGTACAGGGGAGGAAGGGGAAAGAGAGGGAGGGGAAGAAAGGAAGAGGAATGGGAGGGAGGGGAGGAAGAAGAAAGGAAGAGGAATGGGAGGAAGAGGAATGGGGGAGGAAGGTGAGAGGAGGGTGGAGGTGGAGGGTATGGACAAGGAGGAAGAGGCAGGAGCAGCTGCACAAGGCCCTACACAGCCCTGGCTAAACTTTTCAATCCCTCGTATAACTCAGTAGCAGCACCAGCAAGAATGTTGTAAAAAAATTCAAGAAAATTGGATACATTGACAATGTGCTGTTACCATAATCTATATGAGGTGAAGAGGGAAGGAGGAAGTAAAGGAGATGGGAGAGAAGGTGAGGAAGAGGTTGCAAGACTTACAAAGCAATGGGACTGACAGCTTATAATTATTACTTGCAAGTGAATTTGAAAACTCATCATAGCTTTAGAATTATATTTCCCTAATATCTGAAATGCTCTCAATGTAGTAGGAACCATTAATAATCTTATATATAATAAAGATATCAATCAAATATTAGGCCATTTGCTAAAAAGGAAAAATTTGAATATGCAATGATATCAGTGAACAACACTACAGACACTGAGACAGAACTTTTTTATATAAAACAAATATTAATAAAAATTATGCTCCTAAATGCTACTTGTAACTTACAAAGTTCCTTTTGTAACTCTTTGAGCTTCTCCTCTGTGTTACTTCTCGCATTCTCAGACTTTTCTAACTGTTGTATTAATTTTCCAATATCCACCAGAGAACCACCATACTTCACTACACCTGTAAATTATATATAAAAAAAATTATTTTAACATTTTCATTGTTCATATTCACCAGCCATTCAAGAAACCAGTATGAGTTTGTATAAATAGTAAATGCATCAAATCTCACTCTGCATGCATGCACACATGCAGGCACGCACGCAGGCATGCACGCAGGCACGCATGCAGGCACGCATGCAGGCACGCACACGCAGGCACGCACGCACACGCACGCACGCACGCATGCACACACACACACACACACACACACACACACTGACAAAAAAAAAAAAAGTACACTACACTAAGCAATTTCTATAACCTAAAAGCATCAAAATTCTAGACTAGCTAAGTCATTTTCCAAAATTCTTTCATAAATATAGTAACACAATGCATGCACTCCAACAGCACATCAAATCCCAAAGATCACTTGCTGCCACCCACCACACTTGCATATACAGTAAAACGTCAGTTAACACGTGTTCCTTTACCATGTTTTCTCCATTACACTATAGCAAAATTGTGACATTTCTCGACTTACACACTGTTTATTTTCAACTAACACAGTGTCACTTCTGGGTAAAAAATTTGGAGAACCAGTGGCTGGACTGCAGGATTTTTCCCCCGTCTAGTTGGCTCACATGCAGCCTGCCTGTGGGTCAGTCCAATGTCTTTGTGGGGAGGCCTAGCTCCTCCCCTATCCCACCTCTCATTGGTCCATACATGTGTCCCATACAATTTTCAGATCTGTGTTTGTGATTAAATTACACAGTAGATTCCTGCATACCAGTCAATACATGTTTCTTTTTAACTTTAGTAATGTATACAGGAGAAGGGGTTACTAGCCCCTTGCTCCCAGCATGTTAATTACATAAATAAACTTATTATGCTCAAATGTAAGCTTGCTGGAGACAATGTTTATATACAGATTGAGGAGGCAGACACAAACTGTACCTCTCCATGTGAGGGACCTTCCCAGTTTCTATATACCCCTCTGCTCATCTTCCATTGCATAATAAAGATTAAAAGATGAAAGAAAAATGTATGTAACGAGTATACAGAACCTACTTCAAATATATTTGTGCATCTGTTTACCTGGTACACTCATATATTGTAGTAAAGACATTCCTAATTGCTATTCCCTCAGTGTGATTCTCTAATGGTTGTGGATCTTCTTAGAATGAGCAACTGTTGGACATGACCCCAGAATCTTCTATGCAAACTCTTCCTTCTGCAATAGCATCTTCACATCATGGCATACCATATAGTACCCCAACGAAGAGAAAGGTGTGCAACAAGTACTCTTAAGAGATAATAATGTGCATAGATCATACAGTAATAACTTGGATGTTTGCAACTTTGAGACTTACTGGCTCTAAAGATCATAACCCCCAAAGAATGATCGAAGACCAGGCCTCTTCTTTTAGAAAGGAAATATTACAGGAATAAAAGCAATATGAAAAAAAAACATTGTTCAGACAGGAAAATAAAGGTAAACTGAATGTAAGTAAAAGTAAGAAAGATTTACCTACCACATATTTCCATAAGTCTAGGCAGGTACTACTATCTAAATTTTTTTTTTTTTCAACAAGTTGGCCGTCTCCCACCGAGGCAGGGTGACCCAAAAAAGAAAGAAAATCCCCAAAAAGAAAATACTTTCATCATTCAACACTTTCACCACACTCACATTATCACTGTTTTTGCAGAGGTGCTCAGAGTACAACAGTTTAGAAGCATATACGTATAAAGATACACAACATATCCCTCCAAACTGCCAATATCCCAAACCCCTCCTTTAAAGTGCAGGCATTGTACTTCCTATTTTCAGGACTCAAGTCTGACTATATGAAAATAACCGGTTTCCCTGAATCCCTTCACTAAATATTACCCTGCTCACACTCCAACAGATCGTCAGGGCCCAAGTACCATTCGTCTCCATTCACTCCTAACACGCTCACGCACGCTTGCTGGAAGTCCAAGCCCCTCACCCACAAAACCTCCTTTACCCCCTCTCTCCAACCCTTTCGAGGATGACCCCTACCCCTCCTTCCTTCCCCTATAGACTTATATGCTTTCCATGTCATTATACTTTGATCCATTCTCTCTAAATGACCAAACCACCTCAACAACCCCTCTTCTGCCCTCTGACTAATGCTTTTATTAACTCCACACCTTTTCCTAATTTCCACACTCCGAATTTTCTGCATAATACTTACACCACACATTGCCCTTAGACAGGACATCTCCACTGCCTCCAACTGTCTCCTCACTGCTGCATTTACCACCCAAGCTTCACATCCATATAAGAGTGTTGGTACTACTATACTTTCATACATTCCCTTCTTTGCCTCCATAGATAACGTTTTTCGACTCCACATATACCTCAACGCACCACTCACCTTTTTTCCCTCATTAATTCTATGATTAACCTCATCCTTCATAAATCCATCCGCCGACACGTCAACTCCCAAGTATCTGAAAACATTCACTTCTTCCATACTCCTCCTCCCCAATTTGATATCCAATTTTTCTTTATCTAAATCATTTGATACCCTCATCACCTTACTCTTTTCTATGTTCACTTTCAACTTTCTACCTTTACACACATTCCCAAACTCATCCACTAACCTTCGCAATTTTTCTTTAGAATCTCCCATAAGCACAGTATCATCAGCAAAAAGTAACTGTGTCAATTCCCATTTTGAATTTGATTCCCCATAATTTATTCCCACCCCTCTCCCGAACACCCTAGCATTTACTTCTTTTACAACCCCATCTATAAATATAGCAGGGCCCCGCTTTACGGCGTTTCGCTTTACGGCGTTCCGCTAATATGGTCATTTCAAATTATGACCAAAACTCGCTATACGGCTCCCCCCACCTGACTTTCCAATACAGTCACCGCGCCCCACCTTGTTTGTTTACATTCTTTGTGAGCTCAGTAAGCACTAAGTCTCTCCATTTTGTCTGGAAACTCCAAAATTTCAAATGTTTTTAAAAGTTATTTCATATTTTATATATACTCTGATAATTATACTTATGTATACCTGTACTTAAATAAACTTACATACTGTGCTGGCATGCAGGTACACATTAAAATAAGTAAGAGTGTCTTATGTCTCCAGACGTCATATTAGTAATGATAATACTAATCATCGAGTCTCATTTAAATGTCGTATATTACGTTAAATACACATTTTCATTAATCCATCTATGATATTTTTTCGAAATTATATAATAAACACGATACATAACATAAAAAGATGATAAATACACCCCACAATAGAATAAATAAACATAAATATGAGATGTGGTAGCAGACAACTTGCACAAGTGACGCCATATTAGAAATGCTAATAATAATAATAATAATAATAATCACCGAGTCTCCTTTAAATGTTGTATATTACGTTAATATACACATTTTCATTAATCCATCCATGATATTTTTTTCAAAATTATATAATAATCACGATACATAACATAAAAAGATGATAAATACACCCTACAATAGAATAAATAAACATAAATATGAGATGTGGTAGCCAGATAACTTGTACAAGTGATGTCAAGAATAACATTTTCTCTAATCTAACATAAGAGAAAATGTGTTACTGGGGGTAACTGTAGAAAATTATTCCTTTCGTATGTATGTAAGTAAGTTTATTCAGGTATACACAAATACAGTTACATAGATTATCATACATAACAACATATGTGTAGAGAACCTAGGATAACCCAAAAAAAGTCAGAGTGACTTATTTCCATTGCCTTCACTCAGAGCATCATTTCTTTCTCAAAATGATGTTACATGAGAATGGGAGTGTTCTTCTTTATTTATTCTACCGTATCAATGTAGAGACAACCTATACACAATGTAACTTGTACACAAACCAGACGTGTACACTTCGTTTACAAAACTTACCTTCGCCTGGTTTGTTTACATAACTCTGCGCCTGTCCTCTCTCATGCACTCATTCTTTCTCTCTCTCATTTATTCGTTTTATCTCATTTACTTACTCCTGACCCTACATTAAGACTACAAATATTTTAAGGTAAGTAATGAGTGAACTGTATATACATTTTATTGCTCTGGGATGCTTAAATGTAATAGAATATTATGTGTAGGTGGGTTGGCCTGGTATGGTAGCCCCGCTGACTACCATACATACCACACTTGATTTTTTACAATAAATACTACTCATCTCACCCTATATTTTAAGGTAAGTAATGAGTGAACTGTATATACATTTTATCGCTCTGGGATGCTTAAATATCATAGAATTGTATGTGTGGGTGGGGTGGCCTGGTATAGTAGCATGGCTGACTACCATACATACCACACTTGATTTCTTACAATAAATACTACTTGTCTCACCCTAGATTAAGACTATAAATATTTTAAGGTAAGTAATGAGTGCACTATGTGTGTATTGTACTTTTTTATTGTTTTTTGATGCCCGGTTCTATTGCTAACTTAATATATGTTAGTGTAAACTTGTTATCTAGTGTTTGTATGCATTTGTAAGTGGGAAAAAAAGGGTGTTCCACTTTACGGCGGTTTCCGCTTTACGGCGGTAGCCTGGAACCTAACCAGCCGTATAAGTGGGGCCTTCCTGTATATTAAACAACCAAGGTGACATTACACATCCCTGTCTAAGACCTACTTTTACCGGGAAGTATTCTCCCTCTCTTCTACACACCCTAACCTGAGCCTATCCTCATAAAAACTCTTAACAGCATTTAGTAACTTACCACCTATTCCATATACTTGCAACATCTGCCACATTGCTCCTCTATCCACTCTATCATATGCCTTTTCTAAATCCATAAATGCAATAAAAACTTCCCTACCTTTATCTAAATACTGTTCATATATATTTTTTTTTTTTCAACAAGTCGGCCGTTTCCCACCGAGGCAGGGTGACCCCCCCCAAAAAAAGAACGAAAATCCCCAAAAAGAAAATACTTTCATCATCATTCAACACTTTCACCACACTCGCACATTATCACTGTTTT